TCAACGATAGTGAAATGCAAGAGAGTTACAAAAATAAAATGTAATTAATATAACTAGAGTATTGCATATTATTGAATATTTAATATATACAATCGTTTTGGTATGTGTGTTGTTTTCGTTGACTTGGACAGAGACCTGTCTGGATGGAACTCGGTTAACTCGGCCTTGACTCGGTCGATGGGGTATTGACTCGGTCATGTTAACTTGACTTGAGTCGACCATTTAATTTTTTTTTTAAACTTTTTTTTTTATCATTTTAATTATAAAAATAAAATTACGTATATGTATTATGTGGTAAATATTTTTTACAAAATAAAATATTATTAAGATTTTTGGGTTAAAATATACAAGTAAATAATTTATTTTTATGTATAGGTATATGATAAAAAGTAATACAAATATAATTTAAAATTTTATAAATATAATTACTCGATTCAACAATTGACGTGGTGATTCGACAATTGGACGGTGACTTGGTGTCCAACTTAGGTCAATCACTTATTCGAGTTTAAAACTATGCATGAAATAGCGACGGGTTCTTTACATAAACCAACATGTGAAATAGATTAACCCCCACTTTTGTTAATCGTCGTGATATAAAAAATTATCAAAAAAAATTGTGGCACTTAATTGATGACTATTTTTATATTAATTTCTTTTCCGATCTAATGCACTAGATTATTGTTTGTATGAGTTACTTGGTTGAGCACTTCCCATGAAAAATTGTCCTCTTGCACATATTAATCAATTAGTTTGTTCGGTTTCTGTATAGTTTACTTAACACACTGTTTACTTAATCAACTCCACTCAAAATAACTAAAAAATCATCCACAAAATCTTCATTTATAACTACAGCCATTCAGTACTAAAAGTAAATCTCAGTTTTAAGAACAAATGAATGCAATTATCAACTCAATGAAAGTTAAATACCCAATCCAATCATTCAAAAACAATATGACCTGGAGCAACATGAACATTATTGAAAAAAAAATGAATGAGTACAGAGATGAAACTTTGTTATTCATTATTTTTGGATTAACCCAAGAAAAAAAAAAATACAAGAATCCAAACAATTAGTAAGAATCAACTCGACGAAAATAATCTCCATAGTGACTATTCAACATAGAAACAACTTTAATGAAACTTTTTACCAACATATCAATCATTTTCTAAAACAATTACAAAGCGTTTCCAGTCATGTCTATTAATGAATCATTACAACTAAAAAGTGAAGAAATCCTAAAAACTACATTTTCTGCTAGAATTTTGAGTGGGCATAATTTGAATTTTTTTTTATTTAATTGTATTCCTTGTAGGTCATTTGGAAAGCAAGACAAAATAAAGAGAAGTTTAATTTATTTATTAAGTCTTCCTTATGTTTTATTTACTTCTTTATTGTATGTGTAAGAAACGGAGGGAAAATGAGTGCGGTCACACGCACGTGAAACGCACCATAACAGGAAAAGCCCAGATGAAGCCCAAGTGGGGTTCCATCCGAAAAGCAATTAGTGGAAGGAGGAGTAGTCCATTATACTTATAAATTATAATGGGCTACTCCTCATTCCACCATTTGGTTTTGGGATGGAACCTCACTTGGGTTTCATCTGGGCTTTTCCCGTTATGGTGCGGTTCACGTATGTGGGACCGCACTCATTTTTCCCCCATTTCATACATGGTATCAGAGTCGGTTCTATGTGAAGGTAGAACCATAATTTGGCAGAGTGTCAAGCAGAAATGTGTGGCAAACTCCACGATGGAAGTCGAGTACTTTGCAACCTCATAGGCAGCGAAGAAAATGGTTTGGCTCAGGAACTTCTTGTTAGACCTTAACGTGATACCAAGTTTTCCTGTTGTAATCACGATTTTTTGGGAGAATAGCGGAGCAGTAGCAAACTCGAAGGACCACGGACTTATAGGACGAGTATACACATAAAGCGCAAGCACAACCTGATACGAGACATCATTGGACGAGGGGAGATCATTGTTGCATTAATTGCGTCAGAGGACAACCTGAAAGATCATTTTACGAAGAGCCTTCCGAACGGGGTCCTCGAGATGCACGTGGAAGGAATGAGAGTCAGGCGCATAACAACTAGTTAGATCGTTCTTGAGAACTAGATTGAAAGAGTATACTTAATATAGCCGAAGCTTTATAGAGTATAAGTGGGAGATTGTTAGGGTATACTGTAAAAGCTCGGCTTTTAATTTTTACCATCATCATTTTAAATAAAAATCATGTTTTAGTCAAGTGTATGTTTGCAGTTTATATATTTATGCGAACATAATTCATTTATTTTACATTGTAGATAATATGATTCGATGTGTCGAACAGAAGATCATATGATCAGTGACTTGTAAACTATAAATTATATGTTCACAGTCCATACAAAATTAAACTAACTGTCGTGGAGAGGTAAATCGAACAATCAGCCGGGAGACGAATTATTGTACTTCAGGGACCAAATGAAGAATTCAATAATATTATTATAGTGGTATTTAACATTATTCGGTTGTGTGTGGAGTGGGATAGGCCCACAGTTGTATGCACAATTGGGAGCCCATATTTAGCACCTTCTTAGGCCCATATTGTAGCCAATAATTACACTAAGTCTTTAGCCTCCGAGACATAACACAAGTGAGTTTCTTCTTCTTGAGCAAGAAATCGTGAAAAATCGAGAGCAAACAGAGGGGAAAAATTGTGTGACTTTGTGAGACGCTCAGGAGATCCGACAACCCATCAACCACGGAAAATCGGAGCAGGTGATAGGTTATACGATAGAAGATAAAAAAGGTCTCGTATTATTCATCCCTACGAATATATATATTCTCGGGGCTTGTCAGACGACCACAAAACTCGGTGTACCTGGCCACTGGCGACCACCGCACGCGGTTAGAACCCGGCGGCACCGGGCGCACAACGGCGAGGTGACATGGCGGCGGCCACCACCCACAACCACAAGCGCGCACCATCCGCAGACGCCACTAGGTGGTCTTGCGATGCTTCCCAGCGACGCAACAGGCAATGCAGCTCCTAGCGACGCAGTAGACAACCAGGCGATCGGACAACGCATCGAGCCACGAGCGAGCAGCGACCAGCATCCCTCGACAACGAACGACGACCACCACCCTTAGCCACTAGAGCGCACCATCCGCAGACGCCACCAGGTGGTCGCGCGATGCTTCCCAGCGACGCAACAAGCAACGCAGCTCCCAACGACGCAATAGACAGTCAGGCGATCTGGCGGCGCAATGAGCCACGAGTGGCAGCGACCAGCATCCCTCTACAATGCACGGCGAGCAGTGGGCAGCGGTCGACGACTTAACGAAGGTAGAGCACGACGAGGATGTTGGCTAGAGGACGTGCCTCAGAACTGTTTGTCTATCTCCGTAGGTTGTGTAAACGTCTCAAAATCTGAAAATTTTTTGAAACGTAAGTCCTCAATCCTAACAATAGATTCCATTGAGTTATGATTCTATTCGATAGTGTTGAATGTGCATTTAGGCCGATGTTCTTCACCGAACCCAACAAAGGGTCGGTGAGCTATCAAATGTTTGCGTCAAAACTAATCTTTTTCTGAGTCATATGGAAGCAGACTCGCAGCCAAGCCATTTGAGCAAAAGTTTAGTATAAGTCAGAATCACCAAAACCAAAATAGAATCAGCACAAACAAATTTAGTTAGGTAATGCCTGTGATTTGCATCAGTATTGAAATAAAGAAGTAGAATAACTTGCATCGACAAATCCAACCCCAGATGTCGTTTCACTTCCATATCTATTTGGGGCTTAATTTGGCTCGAGTCTTGTGAATATATTGACTGCCAAATGTTGACCGAAAACCCCGACCACTTGTTGAGCATGAGTAGCAACATTCAAGTAACCCTTGGTGATATTTTCTAACGTTTGAAACAAATGTTCGACCTCCTCATTAGTATATTCATCAAAGACACCCAGGACGTCAATAAACAATGGTACCTACGACAATTAATCACAAATTTTAGATATTACATATTTTTGTTTTGGTGGTCATCCATCACAAGAACTTGATATTTTGTGTTTGTTAGAAAGTACTCAACTACTTAAAAAAAACAGGTTAAGACATGGCCAATCCAAACCGTGGCCATGTCTACATAATAAAACAGGTTTCAAGAAGTCTAAGCCCCAAGATCATCATCACTAAGATATAAAAGCATAGAAGGCCATCGTGAACAAAGAAATAACCAACGAAAAGCAAATAGCACCATCATTTGATACAGGTTCAAAATCAAATTAAAGATTTTCAGAACACTTGAAAATATAAGCATTGGTACAAATAAAAAAGAGCTAGTTAAGATGCTTTTTGAGTATTGCCTTCATCCGCAGCAGCTTCAAATGTCTCACCAGCAACAAGCTCAGGCACCTCATCATCATCATCATCTGCTTGTGGCCCACTTACACCAGAAGTGGCACCACCTGCAGCCGGACCCTGCTTCTGAAATTGTTCGGCTAATTTCTTCAAATTTTCTAAGTTATCCGGACCTGTGAATTTTTAATCAAAATAAGATTTTTTCAGTAGAATTGGAATGGAAAAATTATATTATATATATATATATATATAAAGGGAGAGAAATTAAACGTACCCAATTGATGAATGATGGAAGGAAGAATATCTGTCAGCTCTGCAAAATAAACAAAACAAAACGTCAACTTAAGTTAACATGGAAATACAATGAAATGCAAAAAATCAAATACAATGAAACGCCGAAATCAAACCAAAATGGTTCAATGCAATTGAAATGCCAAAAAACACTACTGCTATTAAATGACAAATTAAAATGAAATTGACCTATACAGAATTCAATAGTAAAATGTAAAATACTTTAGATGTTGTGCAAAAGTCAATATCAGATTCCAAATTAAAATTGATATATCCATCGACAATAATAGCCATTTGAAAAGGCAATACTTACTCTTGTTCTGAGGAGTACCACTAACAACCCAGGTGTTGGCAGCAATAGACGCTTGAACTGGAAATAAAAACAAAAAAAATAAACACACAAATTAAATACAAACAGACAAACAAACAAATGGAAGTTACAATTCCAGTGGCAAAAATTGTACCTTTAGGGTTAACAAACTGGATAACTGCATCATCCTTGAAAATATTAACTTCCTCAATTGCAGGTATGGCATTCACCCCTATTCTCTTCAAGGTGCTCTGAAGCCTTTTGTCATCAGTCGTTGTAGTCTTGTGCACAGCCTTCTTCTTTCTGCAAACCAATGAAGAAATCGTTTAAGAAGCGAAAGATGTAGTAATAGTCTCTAGTACAGTTTTCGACATAACATGTTCGACTTATTAAGGGTACTTCTCTTCTGCATACACAATTTCATTTGAAAAACCTAGCTTTGTTTATCAATATTACAAGGACAGAAAAAATAAACAGCCATTAAATACAGACCTTCTCATGGTACCCTTTCCACCGGTGCGGACCGAGCCAGCCATCTTCTGTAATTTTTCCACATTCATCTGCAATCGAATAAAAACAATCAGGACTGTAACTCTAAATTAAAACTGCACTAACCCTTGAATGTTCAGCACTAAAAAAACAGAAAAGGGTGATTCTTCTCACAGATGAGAAGACTAAGATGGACAATAAATTGCTTGTGTGAACATAACTTCCCAATAAAACCTATAAACATAATTTATCTAACAATTTTGAGGTAAGAATCAACCTAAAGAACAAAAGCTCTAGCTTTATGTTGATTGGTTCACTAAACGAAATGTAACTGCACGTTACAAAATTCTAGAAATAATTTTACACGGCCAACTTCAAGCAATAACTTCTGTTCTATGCACAGCCATCAAACAACTTTAAAAGAAAAAAAAAAAAAAACAGGTATAGAATGCATAAATAAGGGGGATAAGCAGGTCGGCTAAGCAAACAAATGACAATACCGAAAAAGAAATGAAGTAGCATCCAACAAGGAAGAGTACATAAACTCCCTTAAGAGATTCAAATTCAGCTACAGTTATGTTTATTAATTGTAAGTCAACTAAGACGAACTACAAAACAATCAGAAGCTCGAAAACACAAATTCACGTGTAATTGAGGTTTCCAGACGAGAAATCAAGATGAAGAAAAATCTCAAAACAAATAAATAACCCCAAAGCAGGATCCAATGAGGAGGCTTCATAATTCAAATCAAGAGACGCTCAGGAACACAAACACACACACACACATACAGCCGAGACATTGACTAAAATTAGATCGAACAATTAAGGAAAACTAAATTTCCATCAGCCAGTAGAAGAGTACGGCAAATGGAATCTAGAAAGAAGAAATTACCTCTGCCAACTGCGAGGAAGAGCCGACCGAGTAAGAAGGTAGAGTGAAGAGCGAATGGAAATGAGCAGTGGATAATGTGGAAATAAAAACCCTAGCGTGCGTTCATTGTATATAGCGAAACAAAGACAGGGAGATAGTTTGGGATTTTTTTTGGGTCCGAGTTAAGGATGACTGATAAGCCCATTATCATTGGAGACTTCAAAATAGGAGAAGCCCAAGTAGACCGAGTCCTCATACGCAAACTACATCCGTGCAAATGCAAGAGATTTATTTTTTTTTTTTTTCTTTTTTTCTTTTTTCAACGATTGGGAAATGCAAGAGAGTTACACAAAGAAAATGTAATTAATATAAATAGAGTACTGCATATTATTGAATATTTATTATATACAATCATTTTGGTATGTGTGTTGTTTTCGTTGTCACGAAATAATATTTTCAATTATTTTCTATTCGTGACTCTTGAAACTTGTGTTTTTGTAATCTGGCCCGGCCCAACGGGTTGACCTGGGACAGGGACCTGTCTGGGTGGGTTCTTCGGACCGGGTAGTAAGGAACTCGATTAATTCGGCCTTGACCCGTCAATAGGGTATTGACCCGGTCAGGTTAACTCGGCTTGAGTCGACCATTGATTTTTTTTAATTTTTTTTTTATCTTTTTAATTATAAACATAAAATTACGTACATATATTATGTGGTAAATATTTTTTACAAAATAAAATATTATTAAGACTTTTGGGTTAAAATATACAAGTAAATAATTTATTTTTATTATTTTTATGTAGAGTTATATGATAAAAAGTAATACAAACATAATTTAAAAGTTTATAAATTTAATTACTCGATTCAACAATTGACTTGGTGATCCGACAGTTGGATGGTGACTTGGAGTCCAACTTAAGTCAATCACTTATTCGAGTTTTAAACTATGCATGAAATAGCGACGGGTTCTTTAGATAGATAAACCAACATGTGAAATAGATTTTTTTTTTGTCGAAACGATAGGGAATCTATTAAAAAACTCAAGCGAACCAAGTTCGAATAATACAAACCAACCCGAGAAGGAAAAGTGGGAGGACACGCATATAGCGGCCTAGAACCTCAACACGGAAAAGAAGAACAAAAAGAAACAAAGACCTTAGTTTTACCTCCACTGCCAATGCCTAGAGATAAAACCAAGGCCAAACAAAAGGAAAAGCAAAAACCTAACAAAGGATTAGAGTTCACAGTACAGAACAACCAAATGCAAAAATATACAAAACCAACTAAAGGCCAGAGAACTCCAGCCAGTTGGTCAATGCAGCTTTGATCACCATATGCACTGGCATTTGAACTTCTTGAAATATACTAAGGTTGCGTGTTTTTCAGAGCCACCAGAGGATGTACGTTGTCAACTGAATTCGATCCTCGGATGTTCCAGCCTTTCCAACCAAGCATATAAACTTCCACCAGCAGCTAAAAGATGAGTCCATCATATGATTTGAATCCCATGAGACTGGAGAGTATTTCCATGCACTTGTTGCTCTTGGACAGTGGAAGAGGACATGATTAGCAGTTTCAGCAGCAGCCCCACAAAAGTGGCAGATGACATCTATGTCCATTCCCCTCTTTCTCAGGTTGGTCTTAACCGGCAGTGAGTTGGCTATACATTTCCAGATAAAGATTTTGACTTTGTTCTCTACCTTCAACCCATAACCTTTGAGTGGCCTTGCTTAATGATTGACCATTGAGGGAGCTGCAACCTGGGATGTCTAGCTGATGTAGCTTTTGTTGACAAAGGAAAGAATATGTGCTGGAGACTGAGAAGGTTCCTCTACTGTGAAGCTTCCAATAAATTTGGTCAGCTTTGTCAGGCTTCAGGGTATTGATTTTGAGAATGGCAGTGCTATCTTCCTCATTGAAAACCTGCTTTACTAGCCAAGTGTTCCATCCCTGACCTGTATCAGTGAGCAGCTCTTTCACTTTGATTAAGTGTCCTCTGGAAATGTCAATTAATCTAGGTTTTGGTTGTTTGAGAGTAGGCACCCAATTGATATCCTCCAGTCTGGTATCTTCACCATTTCTGATAGTTATAGCAAATCCCTTGGCAAATGTGGGAAGGACAGACATCCAGTTGGACCAAAGCCATGAGCATTTTTGAGTCTTGCTGGCTTCAAAGATAGAAGTGTTGGGATAATATTTTTGCTTCAAGATCCTGCTGACCAACAGAGATGGTTGAGTTGTAATTCTCCATAGCTGCTTACAGATAAAAGCTATATTAAAGAGTTGCAGATCAAGGAATCCCAGGCCTCCATTGGTTTTTGGTAGAGTGAGAGTATTCCAGGAGGTCCAGTGTATTCCTTTGGAGTTATCCTCCTTTGTACTCCACCAGAATTGAGAGCAGATGGAGTTGATAGCTGAGCACAGTGTTTTAGGAATTCTGAAGCATGACATGGTGAAAACTGGTAGTGCTTGTAGAATTGTTTTGAGGAGCACAGCTTTTCCAGCTTGTGTGAGCAATTTTGATTTCCAGTTGAGCAGCTTAGCAGAAACAGCATCCAGAATGTATTTAAAGGTATCTACCTTAGATCTTCCAATACCTAGTGGGAGGCCCAGGTACTTTGTAGATCTATGAGCAGTAATGCCATGTAGATTAGCACAGATGCTTGCTTTCAGATGGTCTGGTGTGTTCCTACTGAAGAAGATTGTGGATTTGCTCAAATTTACAGCTTGCCCAGTGAAGAGTTTGTATTTCTCTAGGAGACTCAGAAGGGATTGAGACTGATCAAGGCCTGCTTTGCAAAAGAATAATGAGTCGTCTGCAAATAACAGATGAGAAATTGCAGGCCCATCTTTGGAGATTTTCAGTCCTGTCAGAGATCCAGTAGCAGTAGCTTGTGACACCAAAGCAGACAACATTTCAGTGACAATTATAAAGAGATAGGGGGATAATGGATCCCCCTGTCTTATGCCTCTCGAGGGGAGCACAAACCCACTGACTGTGCCATTTATCTTAAAAGAGAAGGAACAGGAAGTGAAATAGATTAACCTCCACCTTTGTTAATTGTCATGACATACAAAATTATCAAAGAAAATTGTGGTACTTAATAGATGACTATTTTTATATTAATTTCTTTTCCGATCTAATGCACTAGTTTTATTGTTTGTATGAGTTACTTGGTTGAGCACTTCCCATGAAAAATTGTCCTCTTGCACATATTAATCAAATAGTTTGTTCGGTTTTTGTATAGTTTACTTCACACACTGTTTACTTAGTCAGCTCCACTCAAAATAACTAAAATATTATCCACAAATAAATTTATAAATCTTCATTTATAACTACAGTTATTCAGTACTAAAAGTAAATCTCAGTTTTAAGAACAAATGAATGTAATTATCAACTCAATGAAAGTTAAATACACAATTCAATCATTCAAAAATAGTATGACCCGGAGCAACATGAAAATTATTGAAAAACAAAATGAATGAGTACAGAGATGAAACTTTGTTATTCATTATTTTTGGATCAACCCAAGAAAAAAAAAATATAAGAATTCAAACGATTAGTAAGAATGAACTCGACGAAAATAATCCCCATAGTGACTATTCAACATAGAAACAACTTTAATGAAACTTTTACCAACACATCAATCGCTCCCTGAAACAACTACAAAGCTTTTCTAGTCATGTCTATTAATGAATCATTACAATTAAAAGGTGAAAAAAGATCCCAAAAAATCCATTTTCTGCTAGAATTTTAAGTTGGCATAATTTGAATATTTTATTTAATTGTATTCCTTGTAGGTCATTTGGAAAGCAAGCAAGACAAAATAAGGAGCAGTTTAATTTATTTATTAAGTCTCCTTATATTTTACTTACTGATTTATTGTATGAACGAGTTGGAGAGGATCTGGACGCGGTATGGAGACTTGGACGCGGCATGAGCACGTATGGAAAGAGAATCATGAAGATAAGGAATCGCAGGTAAAAGATCCGTCGAATCTTGTATATGAGGAAAGTCATTTTCTTACATGACTTCGGACCTTCCAAGTTAAAGACGATTCTTGAGATCTTGAAGATCTGACAATGAAGGAAACTTACCAATGAAGATTCTGAAGAGCTTTACCAAAGAAGGACACATATATATTCATAATTCTTTAGCATTGTATCGTAACGGTTGAGAGAAAAAGCTCGGGATATTCTGAGTTGTTCTTATTGTTTTTGAGAGCTTTGAGAGCTTAGTTTTGATTTTATTTGATTGTTTAGTCGATCTTTCAGTTTGTGCTCTTAAGGACTGAAAGGTTGATATCATCCTTTTTACTTTTTTCTTACGACACTTGGGATAAGTGTTCGTGTACCTGAGGAAGGATCCACAAAAGGTTTTGAAGTGCATGAGTTGACCAGAAAAAGTAGCTAGAAAAGTGAAGTATAGGGACTATTACATAAGAATGGAGTTCAAATCTCGTAAACCAGTACTACACTACGTGTGCACAATCATTTTATAGTGAAAGAGTTTTGAGGAAAAGGGGAGGCTTTTTTAATACAATTTTATTTAAATCGTTTTCGCATTTTATTTTATGTTGCTACATTAATTCGCACTGGTACGACCAATCCAAACTGGAGACACTATTACCAAATCATATTACAAACATCATTGCAAAGCAATCAATGGTATAAGAAGAACTAAACACAAAACACACCTTTTCATCTCTCTCCAATGTCAACTTTTCATCAAAGCACAAAAATGCAATATTCTTTTTTCACCAGAGAAGCCAGGAGATTCACACCAAGTCAATTTCACCATACGGTTTCACCCCTTCCCTCCAAGCCATTCCTCCAATTTCGCCTCTTGATCGGCTTTAAACTCATCGTAATTCTCCTCACACAGCGAAATCAGCCGTTGATGGGCCAAATCCTCATCTGGCACCGATTCTTCTTGGAGCTCTCTCGACAAGGGCAAATCCTCTTTTGCCCTCAAAAAACTTGTTGACGAATCATCCGCTTGACTCGACTCCAAACTGTGGGCCATTTGCTTCGTGTGCCTGAAAATGCTCGACAGGTAGCCCGATGCCCTCTTCTCGCCGTCCGTCTGCGTAAAAAGACTATTTTGCCCCCAGGTGGCCGGGGACCACGTTCCCCTGTGTGCTGATCCCAGTTTTGGTTGCGCGATAGAGAGACATCTCTTGATGTTCTCGATCATCTCTTCTGTGATTGTGGGCCCACACTCTTTCATCGACCTCAGCATGTCCATGGAATCTTCTAGATCTTGGGCGTGTAGGGAAGACTCTTGGGATTTTTCCGAGACTTTGCTTCTGAGACTGAGGACATTGGGGGTCGCGTTCTGAGTGTGCTGCTGGATGTAGAAAAGACCCACTGAGGGCTCGTTTGCTGCAAACCTTATCATGTCAGCCAGGTCTTCGGTTATCTCCAGAAAGCCGTCGGCCGTGGAGAAATCGTGCATCTTTTGGAAGCTGAGCGGCTCCTCATCACTAAAAAAAATGAAAGAAGTGTTTTTGAGTCGCTTGGATGACCAAACTCGAAGCAGATAATCTCAACTTATTTTACAATCAGAAATTCGGTCATTTTAAAAGGAGAAAAATAGAAATAAAATGGGCTGGTAGGTCGGGTTTTGTAAAAACTTCATTAATTTAGCCAATGATCTATGTATATTCAAAGGTAAAGATGAATTTGACGTTGATATGGCCAGAGAGACGAGACACGTGAGAGGGTTGATACAAGAGAAGACGGAGAACATGTGAAACTTAATACAAATCAAACAAAGTTTGAAATGTAATTTTGTCGCAGAAAAAGTTCAAATGATATTATCTTGCTTCATTTTCCAAATAAGTAAAAAGATGTCGGGCATGTTTAGTAATAACTTCAGGTCAGAAGTCAGAATTGTTTCTTACTTGAACATAGACTTTGCATCTAATGACGAAGTAAATCAAGACCTGTAAAGTCAATTCGGAGAAGAAGTCCTCAGTTAGTATTCTGATAGTATGTCCAGGCAAAAAGGATTATATTTGATTAGCCAGCTCGACACTCACAGATATTGGTGTTCAAATTTATTTAAGCATCCAATGTTTAGAAACCATCAAGATAGCATACTGTTTGCTAGAATATATTTTGACATGCAAGAACAGTATACATAAAAAACATTTAGAGAATAAATAAGCGGGCCTTAGGTACACATTCTCCAACATAAACTAGAATAAGAATAATCATGCAATGTGTTAATCCTTTTTTTGTCATATGTCAGAGCAAAACAGTTGGCTTGAACAACAAAGTGTAACATTCAACATACAAGATAAACACTAAGCTGTAACTATTTTGACTACCACGAGTCAGATGGAAAACAGTAATAAAGTAAGCGACACAACTAATTAAAACTTAAAAGCCAAATCAGGTTGGTTTTGCTTTTATTTTCCCACCGTAGCATAGTGAAGCAACCATAGCTGTCAAACACATGTCGACTGAATGAAAGCATGTACAAATAGTATTGCTGATCTTAGCTATGCCTTCAATTTCAACTAACAAAGATACAAAGTGTGGCAAAGTTACATACCGATACCATAACTGATGCAACTGCTTATTATGAGCACTGAGAAAGCTTCTTTACCTCAGCTAAATCAATCTTTATTGCTCCAATGTTTTGAGCAGATTCAACGAATAGCCAAAAAATCTGGAGGATAAAAATATAATAGTGATAATCTTGACAAATCAGCAGGAGACAGACTTATTTCAAGTCAAATTTCATTAAGAATTGAAATGCTTTTAAAAAAGAAAGAGTTGCTTGCTCACAACATGATGATGAAAATTCATATTCATTCTTGCAAGAATTATAGAAATAGTAAAAAAGAAATAAATAATAAAATGAAGAGGGTTCTCCATGCCCATAGTCACCACAATTTAACAACTGTTCAACACATCATGAAACAGCGAATGGCTTTCAGTATGAGAAAATACACCTTCTAAGCCAACTTTCCATCAAATCAGTGGAAACAACAAAAAAACGTCTACTTATGAAGGCCCAAATAATTAGATTCTTCTATATGGTATTCCCAAAATATATCGAAGTTAAACGAACTAGATCCACAATTAAATTCTCATTAGTCAATCTAACTATTTTCCAAGTGTAGATGAAAAGCACATTTTGTTTACTAGACTATTCTAATTAGATTGTGCAAGATGACTTTGTAATTCCACCAAACCAAATACTTCATCATGGAGAGTGAGAATAAAACTGGTTTTATTGTGCTTGTAACTCGCTCAGCAGCAATGAACTGTCCACTGCAATGGTGTAGCCTCTCCTGATATGTTCATATTGAATCACTTGGTCCTGAACAAATTAAAGTGATTTGCAAGAGTGCAAAGGTGAGAAAAGGGTTGATTCTGGACCAAGTTGCTCAAACTTTAAAGAATTTCAAAATCGAGTGAGAGAAAAGTTCAAGCCTTACACTGTCTCTTGTCTCCATGAGAATGAAAGGAACTATAGCAGTTCAAGATTCAGCCAGATGGATTTTCACTTAATACACAGGAATGTTATTTATGTTATTCAAAACCGGCTGTGGGTCAATCTTTTACTTTCTTTGGCTTATAGTATGTTCCAAATATCAAGGATAGATAGCTATCATCACTTCATCATTTAAAGTAGACAACAAACCCAACCATACAAGTCAAATGATAAGGAAGAGCAGGAAATCTCTAACAAGCTAACCAACATTAGAAAGCATTTTTTCCCGATATGGGATTCATTTGAACAGATCAGGCCGAACGCATGAAACCAGATAATTCAAATCAGGATTCTGTCTAAATCCACTCCCAACTATACCTTCATCACCTCCACTGGTTATTTCAAACACACCATTTCCCAAGGGATTCGGAAAAACAAGCTCGATAGAGACACTGACTTTCATATGCATCTCTAGCTCAAAATCAACATTTCAATCTTATAACAATAGAGTGCCAAAGGACGGAAGCTAAGCACCTGTAAAAGCACCTGTAAGATGTAAGATGTAAGCATTTGACAAGACGATGGAAATGAGAAATAGGAGCAGGTGATGGTAATAACAGGACGAAGATTGGAGTAGACGCAGAGAGGGTTGAAGATACGACAACGGCAAACTGATATCAGACCGGCCCAAAGATGATGATTGACGGATGAGATTAAGAGTGATTTTCTTTTTCTTCTTTTTTTTTTCTTTTTTTTTTGTTTTTTTTTCACCATCCACCTTACCTAATTTTTTTTTTCTTTT